TAAACAGAAATACACATGTTTATTGATGATAGCAGTTCATGATAAAGAAAATTTAAATTAAAAAGATAGAAAAATGACAGACTTGCTGAATTCTATGTAATTGCCTATTTCAAAGACCAAGGTATATCAACCCTACTCTCAGTACCCTATGAATATGAGGTGTTATTACCCATTACAGAAACTACAAAACAATCAGGGGCTGGAGGAAATTACAGCAGCAAGGTAAGGCAGGAAATAGAGGACACTCTGAAGGATCCTAAATACAAAAGCTGTTTCTGGTTTTTTTGGGGGGTGGGGCGTGAGGATGGGGTTGTTGCTGTTGTTGTTAACTAAGACAGCCAAATTCCAAAGAACAAGGCAGAAGTTTGACACCAACTATTTTTCACCAAACCTTAATTTGATCCATAGTTTTCCACAGTCATTAAAATGAACTTAGCTCCCTCTTGTGGCCACTAAAGAATATATTTGGTACGTAAAGTCTGGAAGAACATGAAGGGACAAAAGTAATTGAGGGCCACCTTTCCCTAAAAGTGCTTCACAAATATTATCTCATTTGATCCTCACAACAACCCTGAGAGGTAGGTGATGTTATTTATTCCCATTCTACAGATGAGGAAACTGAGGCAGAAGGTTAAATAACTTACCCAGGGCCACACAGTGTACAAGGCCATATTTGAAATCACATCTTCCTGACTCTAGGCCCAGTGCTCTATCTATAGCTGTCTCTAGTCAAGAAAAACAAATTCCTGCACTGGCCACCTTAATTCAGGTTTTTATCACCTCTTGTCTCGAGTATGGCAACACTCTCCTAATTGGCCTCCTTCAAGTCTGTCATCATTCAAGTTCATCCTACACATTTACCAAAATAAGTTTCCTTAAGCCTAGATATGACTATGAGCCTCATCTACTCTACTGATTATAGTGACTTCCTATTGTCTCTCCTTTGTTTAGTTTTTAAAGCCTTCTATAATAGAGCCCTAACCTATCTCTTTACAGTGTCTGACATGGGGGTGGGGGGTGGGGTGGGGGGTGAGAACCTGCAGCCTTGAGGCCACATGTGGCCTTCTAGATCCTTGGGTACAGCCTTTTGACTGAGTCCAAGTTTTACATAACAAATCGTTTTATTAAGGGGATTTGTTCTGTGAAGTTTGGATTCAGTCAAAGGGCCACACCTGAGGACCACACGAGGCCTCGAAACCATAGGTTCCCCACCCCTGAACTATGGCACATAGGTAAGCACTTAATAAATGCCTCTGGTCTGAATGTTGACTTTTTCCAGCCTCAATGGGCATTACTCCCACTCTAGCACTCTTTGATCTAGCCAAACTGGCCTCCTTTCTGTTCCTCATACAGGACACTATCTCCTGTCTCCATGGCTTTGTAATGGCTGTCCCACATGCCTGGAGTATGTTCCCCTTTCACCTCCAGCTGACAGAGTACCTCCCTACCTTTGACTGCCTTATTCTGCACGAAGCCTTTCTGGATCCCAGCTACTTGTGCTCACCTTCTCAAAATACTCTGTATTAATACTACTTTGTATACGTTTGCATTTATTAACTTTATATTTACGTTACATATGTTTAATATAACCTTGTTATCTCCCCCACTAGAATATAAGCTCCTTACAAGTAGGGATGATCTCATATTTTGCCCTTGTACTCTCAGTGTCTACTCAGCACAAGGACTGGAACATAGCAAGCACCTTAATAAATATTTGTGGATGACAGATTGAAATATCTCAGAAAAGGAACAAATATTCTCATTTTACATTTGGCTAAAAACTATACTGTAATCTATTTCACTTAATGAGAACCAAATGTTCATTTAAATCATTAACATATGCAAAAAAAGATTAATTATTAAGCTTCATTCAGTGAGACCTGGATACAGACCAGTTGTGCCACAATCAGGCACAAAGATTAAATAAGAGATTAAATAAGAATTGTGACAGGATCACATTCTAATTGTAAAATACTTAACAAGGGGGACTTATGTTAAAAGCAATATTTAACACACTAAGCACAGAAAAATGGAATATCAGAAGCAAAATAGCCTTAAAAAGAACTACTAAAAGTTACAAAAATATAGGTATACATGCTATATGTATTTTTTCTGACAATTATCATTGCAAACAACAAACTGAAACAGCTAATTAGCTGATCAGATTGGAGAATGTCCTCTTTTAGCCCTATTATTGATTTTTTTAAGCAATAAAACATTTTTCCCATGGAAAATAACTGTTTAAAATTTCCTGTATTTTGTAATCCTACACTTTTGTTTTACATATGAATGATCTTCCAGGCAGCAGGCAGCCTTAGATGAGAAGCACCCCTTAAAACCAAGGCTGTTGGGTTCAGAATATTCTCTCTTCAGACAATCTGGATATAGCTGTTGTCACATGTGACCTTGAATCTTTCTTTACTCATCAGTTATTTTGGTTGTGCTTTGGTTTATTATAAAAAGTAAATTCCAAAGTTTAAATGTCAAGAGATTTTAAAAACACAAACTTCCAACACCTGTACTCATTTTCATGGTAATTCAAAAACTATGAATCACTTTAGCCTTGGAACACTTTTGAAAAGGCCCCTGTATTTAAATATGTGTCTAGACAGAAGATTGAGGATTCCATATTTTAGACTGCAAACTCTCAGAGGGCAAGGATTATACATTTCAGTAACTACCCAGTGGCAGACAGGTGGATATTTCATGAATGCGTCTGATAATATCTTTTTAAAACCAGAAACTATATGAGAATATCCAAATAATAGTGACATTCATACACATAAGTTTTTAAAGTCTGTAAAGCATTTTACATACATTATCTAATTTGATCAACTAAAACCTGTGGAGTAAAATAATACAAATATTATTTTCCCACATTTTACAGATAAGGAAACTGAGAATCAGAAAGTTTACATAGTTAACTAATTTACAAAACTGGTTAAACACAGAGGCAGCTGAGTGGCATGTTGGAGAGTACTGGACTTGGGGTCAGCAAGACTGAGTTCTAATCTAACCTCAGACAGTTGCTAGCTGTGTGACCCTGGGCAAATCACTGAGCCTTTCCCAGCCTCGGTTTCCTCACCTACAAAATAGGGATAAGAGTAGCTATCTTACAAAATTGTACTGAGGATCAAATGAGATAGCACATGCAAAGCACTTTCAAACCTTAAAGTGCTACAGAAATGGCCCAATTGGCACAAAGAGTGAATCTTATATGAAGTGGCTCAATGTGCATTATTTGACACTTTCAATTATGTAAAAATGGTACTGCGCGGTGCAGTCCAATGGAAATACGCAGTGTGACTTCAAGTACTGAGACCACTTCATGGATTCATTATTCCTACTCATGAAGACCTAGCTATATAAAGGGCTTACTCAAGGAACTCACATTCTAAGAAGGGAGACAATACCCAAAAAACTATGTACATATAAGATAAACACAGTGGAAAGGGAAGGTAATCTGAGAGAGAAGATACTAATACTGGCAATGGGTAGGACCAGGAAAGGCCTCTTAATGAAAATGGGATTTGGGTTGAGCCTTAAAGGAAAACAGGAGGGAGAGCATACAAGGGATGGGGGACAGGCTAGTGAAGAGACACAGGGTCCAGAGATGGAATGTTTAGAAAGGTATTACTGGAAAGATAGGAAGGGGCCAGGTTGTAAAGAACTTTCAGGGCCAAACAAACCATTTTATATTTGATCCTGGAGGTAACAGGGAGCCATTGGAGTTTACTGAGCAAGATGTGACATGACCTCTGGAAAAATCACTTCGGCAACTGAGTACAGAACAGAGTGGAGGAAGACCAAGCAAAAGACTACGGCAATAGTCCAGGCCTGAGATAAAGGCTGCAGCAGGGTGACAGCTTATGAGTGAAGAGGAGACATGTACAAGAGATGTGAACGTAGAAAACACAAGAACTGGCCACAGAATGGATTTATGGAGGGAGAACAAATGAAGAGCTTAAGCTGATACTTAGATTGCCTGAAGTACAAGGAAAATGGTGGTGGCATCAACAGTAATCACAAGCTTTAGAGGAAGAGTGCATTGGGTGGGAAAGATAATGACTTCCATTTTGGATGTGCTGAGTTTTAGATATCTGCTGTTGTGTCAATTAGTTGTATCCCATTCTTCATGACCTCATTTGGGGTTTTCTTGGCAAAGATGCTGGAATGACCTGCCATTTCCTTCTCCAGGCAAACAGTGACTTGCCCAGGGTCACACAGCTAGTACGTTTCTGAGTTAAGATTCTTGGACTCAGGTCTTCCTGATTCCTGGCTTGGTGCTCTATCCACTGCACCACCCAGCTGCCCCTTTTAGTTATCTACAGGAATATCCAGAATCAATAGTATCAAAAATTGCAGGGTTTTTTAAAATCTAAAAATCAATGGAATTTGACTTAAGTATGAGATTCTTAGGCCAATAGCTGCTATCATGTTGTTTTTTCCCACGTGGCCCAAAGAAACTTACAATATCAAACTACAGTTATGTTAATATTTAAGTATAGTTCAGTTTTTAAGTAATTTTAAAACTGATCTAGGAAAATAACTTATAATGTAACATTACCCTCACTTTTATATTTTCCTCAGAAAAATATTGACTATATTAACTATGTATTCAGTAAAATTTCAAAATATATGACATTCATTACCTCCACGAAAGCTCTACTTCCATTCCTGACTATGGTAAAAAGGTGACCCTAACTTCTCTCAAAGCCTAAGCAAATAGCATGTAAGCTCCGGAAGTTCTGCAAGGTCTTGGAAGGTGAGAAGAGCTTCGCATCCAAGCTTAGTGACAGGTTCCCTGTATTTTTGTCAAACGACCATCTATGCTAAATTTAAAAAGACTCATAACCACAGTGACCACAAGAAAATAAATGTTTGGCCATAGCAACTCTTCAAGAACATGTGAGTTATAAAAAGGTATGAAGAGAATACCCACACCAACAAAATTACAGATGCTGAAATTGTTAAACAGCACATATACCTCTGAGTCTTACCTGAGGATTCCAGTTTGGATCCAATTTTTTAACCACTGCAATATATTCCTGCATCGCTTGGCTAGGACTTGAATCTCCAAGTGCCTTCCATGCTTCCCTAGAACAGAGAAGAAATATCCAGAATGACCTACTGTAGTGTTTCTCAAACTTTTTGGTCTCAGGACCCCTTTATAGTCTTGACATTTATGAGGACTCCCCACAAAGAGTGTTTATGTGGCTTATGTCTATCAATATTTACCACACTGAAAATTAAAAAGTGTTAGTATTATTATGAAAATAGTTTTGATCTCACAGACCCTTGAAGGATTCCAACCATTCCCAGACTCCATTCTGAGAACCACTGACCTACTGCTAAACTAATTAAATGATCCACAGTGATCTCAAAGTTTTGGAGTTACAGGAATAATTCAGACCATTACTTTTCAGACTGACTTTGAAATACATCCACTTAACTATAGATAAACAGCCCTCTTTTTAGTTCAAACAATGAGATAGACAAATGCAACTGAACAAACTTAACAAAAAAAAAGTTATGTTGCAAATTAATTTCTAAGTCAACTGTGTTGCTTGACATCTGAACCTTGCCCTTTTTTACATGACAGGTTTTTTTTCTTCCATAATACAGTGGTTAGATTTCCAGGCCTGCATATATAATGGTCCAACATCTGACTATAAGGCCCTACAACTCTGAATCAGGCACACTGGAGAGAACAGGGAAGGGTTCAGGAGACATTCACATACGTAATATTACTACCCTAACCTTTGGTATATTTAGAGAATCTTAGAGTTGGAAAGTACCTCAGAAGTCATTTAATCCAATCCATATCTAAAAGATAATTCTCTTCCAACAAAACCAACACACGGTCTGGAAAAGTTCTTACCACTTCAGGGCTTTTCCTTAGATCAAGCCTATGTTTGCCTCTTTGCAACCGCCCACTCATTACAACTCATTCTACTCTCTGGAACTGAGCAAGTCAATCACTCAAAAACTTAAATATAGCTATCAAGTCTTCCAGACTATCTACCTATCTATGTGGGGAATGATTTCAAGACTCTTCACTGTATTGGTTACTTTATTTTTTGGGGAGCCACCTGCCAGTCATCCTGATTTATATCTTGCCACTGAACCCAGATGTCTCTGGAGGAAAAAGTGAGGCTGGTGACTTTGCACAGCCCTCCCTCACTTAAATCCAATTCACTCGCAAGTCATGGCATCACCTTCCTGATGCCATGGTCCTTTTTAAGAAAGAAGGACAAACAACAACCTGTGAGTAGTATGGGCTGACCCACTGGGGAACCAACTGGCTAGTTCCAGTTGGGCAACGCAGCTCCTCCTCTCCTTTCCTCCTGCTCCTCCTCCACCCCATCCCTTCCCTCCTTCCTTTCCCTCTATCCACACAGGGTTATCATACCCTTAAGTGTAGGTGCTCTGCCCAAAGGAATGTAAATTTTGAGCACTGAAAACTGGCAAGATATCTTTGGGTTTACTGGCTAGATTCCTTTCTTAAGGACCACACCTTAAACCAGGCCTGTACAACTTAGGCTGGCCCATGGGCTCCTTGCAGCCCACCAAAGAATTTCAGGCAGCCCACAAAAAAATGTAGAGGATGTTAAAGAAAGTAAAGATGTAACAAGTACTTTGTCTATGCCCTGTTTAACCCCCCTTCCACTAGTCACTACTGTGCCATCTGTCACTTGGCCAGTGGGTTGCCACTTCAAACTCTCTCCTGTTTGTCACATGACCCACAGCAACCACCCATGGGCAGTCTGTCTCTAACCTGAGAGGAAGTATTTCATGATAAATAAAAATCTTAAGTAATAAGTGTAATTAATTGATATTAAATGAAACTTCCCCTTTTTTAAAATATGATTTATTTGCAAAATAGTTTAATCATTAATTATGATTGGAAAGTGAGACACTAAAATCCTATCTACAGGTTCAAGAAATTTAGCCTATTTTAATTTTGGCCCCTTCCACTGTCAAGTTGTGCAGGCCTTCCTGAAACCCAATTCACTCTGGCTCTCACAGATTGGCCAACAATGGATTCCAACCCAAGCCCTACTTAGTGGTCACTGTTTGGGCCCTGATTGGCTCAGAGTATATGTAAATAGCAATTGTTTCTTTTTGGCAAGAACCCTGAGGTCTTCACCTCCTAGAATGATTTTTTTTTTTAGCTAGGAAAAGAAGCCAAACATTGTGTCATTTCTTATCTAGCCTTAACCAATTGAATGGGAATTGCCTCAGTCAAACTAAGTCCTGGGAAAGACCTTAGCTGTCTCCCACTGCATCCTGGGCCATCTGCAGTCTTCCTGATACATAGCTTCCCACTGAACCTACATGTCTCTGGAGGAAAAAGTGAGGCTGGTGATTTTGTACAGCCCTGCCTCACTTAAATCCAATTCACTTGCAAATCATGGCATCACCTTCCTGATGTCATGGTCCTCTTTTGAGATGGAAGGACAAACAACAAAAGCTTTCTTTTAAACAATCCTCAACTTATCAATGTCCCTTCCTAAAATCTGGTGCCTAGAACTGAACACAATATTTCCAGATGTAGTCTGACCAAAGCATAGTGGGTCTATGACCTCCAGACACCTAGATGCTCTGCTTTTTTTAATGTGGTCTCAGACTGCATTAGTTTTCTTAGTTACTGTATCACATTAATGACCATATTATTCTACATCTAAGATCTCTAACATCTTAAAGTTGAGCCCGAAGAACAAAACATCTGAATTAAAGCAGAAATAAGATGGTGATTATGCCATACAATGTCTTTGGGAGGAAGAGAAGAGATTAAATCTCAGATCACTCTTCTCTCCAGCTGTAATGAAATGAAAAATTTCTGAGATAAAGTTTATGGATAATTAATAGCCAAGTTATTAATTAGGCTAGTAGATAATCAATAAATTGAGGTCAGTGGTTCCTCTTAGCAACCAAAAGACAACCCCGCCCAGAAGCCCTGAGGGTAGAATCAACTCTGATTAAGAAGCTACGAGGGGTTAGACATATTAATGAGGAGGTGAGCAAAAAGTCTTCCACTCCTCCTTCTGAGAATATGACCTGATCATGAGACTCAACCACCTCTAGCAATCTGGACAAAAAAATCCATCTCTACCCAGACCACTCTGGTTGGTTTTCCCCTTCTTAAACTGGGTCACCCTAAATTTCAATGGAACATTCCTAGGACAAGGTTTATCTCTTAAGTGCAAGAACTTGCCTAGACTGGACTCTGTTCTAAGGTCTTCTAGTTGGGTGGGATCACACCCAAGATTCAGAAGCAAGTACTCAGAGGATTTAGGCAATCTCCTCCATTAGTAATGTCCTTCTTAAGACTGGCTGAATAACCTACAGGGGCTGGTTTCTGAATGAGGAAATAGGAAGGGAAAACTTTAATCCTAATTTAATAGTTGATTATTAATATAAGAGAAAAATAATCATTTCTCTTACATCCCACCACTAATCAGAAAAATTTTTTAAAAGTAATTACAACATAAGGTAAACTGTGTCACACAAAGACATGTGTGCATAAAGTACTACAAGAGTTAAGGAGGAAAAGATGCTTAGAAGTATCTGTTGGCATTCCACAGAAGGGCTACTTACGGGGGCAGCTAGGTGGCACAGTGGATAGAGCAGCAGCCCTGATGTCAGGAGGACCTGAGTTCAAAGCTGGCCTCAGAACAAACACTTGACACTTACTAGCTATGTGACCCTGGGCAAGTCACTTAACCCCAATTGCCTAAAAAAGTTAAAAAAATATGAGAAAAGCTACTTATTACAGGTACTATGGAACTGGAAGAGTGTGAAGCCTGTGGAGACAGAAATAGGATAAGTACTGGGGGCAGCGAAAAGATACTGACAGTCTAGGTTTACTACCAACAAGATCACTAGCAGCAGTGTGAGTAGAGGGAAAGTAGCCAAGAAGATTTACCTTCCCTTCTTTCTTTCTTCCTTTTGTTCCTCCTGCTACAGAAGTCTCCATCCTACCTGACACTAGAACAAGATAAGAAAGGGATAGGAGAGGGAAAATCCTAAGCAGTAGTAAGAGAGAGGGAAAAACCAGTGTTTGTGACCCAACACCCAGCTGAGGCTAAGGGGAATATTCCTAGGTAAGGCACAGTAAATCAAAAACTGCCTATCTACCAAACTCACAGTACATAAGAACCTTAGATAAAAGCGGATTCTTTTAATCTCTCTACAAACTGTTTGAATGTCATTAGACCTGAGAGAGATTAATCCAAGAATAATACTCTAATCTGCGCATTACTTCTTAATTCCTATAGACCTAAAATATTTTTTAACAAGATCAAATAGAAATTCCAAGAATTCCGTCTTACCATTTCTGTTTCCCCTCAAAATCAAAGAAGCTTGGTTTAGGTGTATTACAATTTCCAACTTTGACCTAAAGGAAAAAAAATACCAATAACTTATTTACTTAAATACCTGAGAAACATTTTTCTCATTGCAAATGAATTATGCGTATTTAATTACTATAAGAAAATATCTGTTGTAACAGAAAAATTTAGTATTATTTCTAAAAGAAATAATCCTTTAAAAATCTTTAAACATAGAATATTCTGACTCTTTATAATTACTAAGTATAATACTACTACTATTAACATATAGGATAAATTCCAATGATAGACTTCTTTGTAGAAACCTTAATAACTAAATGTAGAAATAACATAAAATAATAGTAGCTATTATAAACCAAAAACCCCCCCCAAAATCTAAAATAACTTCAAATGCACCAGAAAACATAAAATATGTACCTGAGAATCTTGGGATAAGGTAGGACAAGAATAGGGCTACTACTGTAAGTGTAAGGGAGATATGAGCTCAAAAAAAAAAAAGAAAGAAAAAGGGTAGGATGTAAGTCTGGAAAGAATCTATGAGGCAGCTAGGTGGTGCAATGGATAGAGCACCAATCCTGGAGTCAGGAGGACCTGAGTTCAAATTTGGCCTCAGACACACGACACTTACTAGTTGTATAACACTGGGCAGGTCACTTCCTAGAATCTGACGTAGTAAGGGACACAGATTTCTCTTCTCCCAATGTTTTCAAGCACTATGGCTTTGTCAGTCTTATCAAAGAAGAAGGGAAACTAGGGCTGAATGGAGAATGAATAAATTAAATTTTACTTCAAGCTAACCACTTGGCTTAGAGCAATTTCAGAGGCCCTTCTAGCAAATCAAAATATCTGCCCATAACCTTACTTAAATTCCTTTAACAAAGGTAAAGGTTTTCCTTAGGAGAAAAGATAACATAAACATCTGAGGGAGGTAACACTAGGCATGACTGAGTCCCACTTATAGTATAATCAGTCCCTAGTATTGAGAAAAGAGAACTGGACTGGGTTACAGTCCCTTTTCTTCATGACTTCATTCTGTGACTTTTAGACAACTTGTTTTACTTTCCTGGCTTTAATTTTACTCCTTGTTTTGACATGGGAGCAAAAGGTCAGTGATCTATTTAACATAAAGAAGGGATCATCAGAAAATGGATCTCCAGGGATGGAGAGAAAATTTCAAGAGGAGACTACAGATGAACAAGGCACTCAGACTCTCTAATTTTGTCTAAGGCAAAGTCTTAGTTACCTTCAGCTGAGCTGGGACAAAAAGAAACTACACACATTTGAAATGTTGTACCAGCTCTACTTGACATGACTTATAAGATTTCACTGTTATGTTTTGTTTTGAAATAAAGATGACTTCTCATAAAAGAGCTTTATCCCCTAGATATCTGTTAATCCAGTTATCAAGTGATTTTAAACAAAACATATTCTGGAGACCAGTTTATTTTTAACTAGTATGTAGTATAACTATCAATACGATAATTTTCAATTTTGATGGCAAGTTTTGAATCCATAACCAACCTGAGAATCTTTCAAGTGAAAAAACATAAGTTTATTTATTTCCTTCTACTCTGTATACAAAATTATTCCCAGAAATATAAACTGTAGTGTTTTATTATCCCTACTTACAAATTAGCATAAAATGTCAATAACGCAGATTAAACTCAAAAGTGTATTGTACATATATTTTAGGGGGGAGAAAGCTGGTTATTAAACATTTACCAGCATATCCCTGATTACAGTCATACCTGAAAAATTGTCAATGCTGTCAATTTAGGAAAAAGAATAAAAATCACTAAATTAAGCAGATTAGATCGATGAGAATTTGTAGCAAAGGATGTGACAGCATGACAAAAAAAAGCAAAAAGGAGAGGTTGAACCTGCTTTTATATATAATAATGACATTACTAACACCAGTAACAGCAGGTGTTGCAAATTTTACATAATCACTGTTCTTCTGATTGGTTTACAACTCTCCTACTGCTTTGTCTGCTTCCCTACTCTCTTATTTAACAAGTCAAGCAGATAAAGAATGGTGGAAAAAAGTCCTGGACTTAGAATGAAAAAACCTGGGCTGAAGTTTTCCACTTGTGTGGACTTGTAGTAGCATCCTTCCTCCCAGACTCAATCCCCTCAAAAAAATAAAAGTTATTGTAAGGAAAATACTTTGTTAAATAGTATAATGATTACTATTACCACCTTCTACTCAAGGATCCCTGATCGTCAGTGTCAATATTTAAAGCAGGGCACAGCCCCTTCAAACCTAAGTAAAACTTTTGCCAGTTACTGGGCCCTCAAAATTCATCACCCTGGAGAAAACCTGGTGAGGAGCCTCCCAAACTTAGCTATGCTGGTTCTTCATCACCAGACCAGTACTGTATTTAAAGTATTTCCAGTTGGACAAACCTGCAAGAGTGTGAACTTTACTAGCATTTTGAAACTTGGGTTTCAAAAAACCATTACCTTTAATCAAAGTAGGAGTTTAGTGGAAGCAACTATTATTATTACTGACTTTAACTCTTATTGCCATTGACTTTTTAGGAGTAAACTTTTTAAAGCGTGACAGTAAAGCTTAAAGTCCAATTTATTAGAACTTGTAACACTATTTTTGTTAGTATGTAAAATCCTTGTCATCAAGTCTTATCGTATATGGTTTTCAATGGAGAGATTTGAGGATACGTCTATCTTTGACCCCAGTAGTCACGGAAAAAGTGATGTTAATGAGCAAATGAGTTTGTTTCTTTTCCGTATATTTGACCTTCATTTTTAAAACTATAGTATTAGAAGCCTCTGATAGCTAAATAGAGTTGGTGAAAAGGAGTTAGTAAATCATGATGCTTCAGAACATGGTGACTTTTTCCAGAAGAGTTGTATTTGAGACGTCTATCTCCTGAACAGTCTTATGAAGTTGAGTAAACCAGCCTATCAGGGTAGCTAGTATTTATATACTATACATGATATGTCATATACATCTGATGTAGGTACACAAAACACTTTACGTGTCATCTTATCTGATCCTCACAACTCTGTAAGAAGGGGTACTGTTGTCCCATTTACATTTGAGAAAACTGAGGCATAGAGAGGTTACATGACTTGCCCAGGATCTCAATTATCTGAAGATTCAAACTCAAGTCTTCCTGACTACAAATCCAACATTATCCACTGAGACACACCATGTGACTTGCCAATTTCTATTTTAATAGATGCCAGGAATCAATTTCCCAGCGGTTCACAGGATCATAGATTTAGAGTTAGAAGAGAGCTTAGAAACCCTCACTTTACAAATGAGAAACTAAGTCCCAGAGACATTCAATGTCTCAAGGTCACCTAGCTAGCAGTAAGTAGCATGCCTGAGATTTAAACTAAGCTCTAAACCCAGAGCTCTTTGCACCGGAAAATACTGCCTCCTAAACAAAGTGGTTTAAAACAAAATAAAGACACTTATGCTATTTTTACATGTACTAATTGTGGAAAAAATAAGTTTTATTCTATTTTGGCTGAACCCTTTCAGAGACAGATTAAGAACAATTTCACAAAGTGACAATGAGAACTTCCTGTCACTCAAGTGAGCTCTGCTTAAAGCAACGTCCAACTAACAGTCATAATGAAACAAATAAGGAAATATAGCAACAAAAAAGACAAAACACAGTTTTCAGCTATGATTTTGTAATAACAAAAGGCAATGGGGTTACTGTCCACAATGAGTTGGAAAGATGTGGTCAGTGTTTGGAAGGGGCTTCAGTAGCTGGCTCCGATTAAAAACTGTTGAGAAGGGAAATGGACCACTTCTCTAGGCAGTTGATTCCACTTGGGTACAACTTGGTCAAGAAATTTTCCTATCAAGACTAACTTTGGGTCTTTGGAATTTCTATACATTGCTCCTGATTCTGTCCTCCAAGGCCACACAGAACAAATCAAATCCCTCTTCTACATGTGGAAGCAAAACTTTTTTACTAAAACTGAAATCTTACAGAATATTTTTCTCTAATGCCTTTTCCAGACCCCTGGGAAAAAGCTCCTTGGAAAGATGGTTGATAGGTTCAAGGCAAAAAGACCTTTCTTAAGGAAATGGATTAAGGTGATAGTCAAATTTAATTCTTCTCTCGTTCAAGTTCAATTTCCACTCCCATCTACCAGAAGTAATTGGCTCTAGGTCCCACCCTTTTCCATTAGGAAAAGGATAAAGTTACTGATAAAAAAAAAAGGGGGGTTCCTTTGTTTAATTCCACGAATAAGGGCAGTGATCTAGGCAGAATGGCATAGAGAAAATTAGTGCCTATGGCCACATTATCTGTAGATCTAAAATCCTATCAATGTATAGGATATCACTATATATGCTCTTCATATATGCTGAAAGGTCATATGCTTCTAGAGTGATTAATTTACAGGCTTTGGAGTACGTCTATACAAGACCCTAACAAAAATTCCTGAAATGATATGAAAACAATGAGACAGAAGAATGGGTGCTTTTTCCATTATGTGCATTAGAAATCAAAGGACCTGGATTTGAATCCTGGCTCTGCTACTTATGTGACTTACAGCAAGTCACTCAACTTTAGCTTCCTTATTTGGAAAAATGAGGATTATACTACATGAACTCTTGGGTCTCTTCCACTCTGAAGTCCTCTGATCTTATAACAAGGAAACTGAGGCATACTAAGTTAGTGACAGAAGGCATTGATGGTATACTGCTAAGACAAAAACTTACTGGTAGCGACAGTGAAGACTTCTAAAGAGCAAGATAAATTCCTGGTCTTTCTATCATTATTTACTTTTACAGAAAAGCAGCTATATTTACACTGTCTAGAATGATGTGCAGCTGCACCTGCTTCATTCCACTTTGAAGGAAGCTGGAGAAGCCAGGAGGCTGAAATGAGGAGGGAGAGCATTCCAGGCATAGGGCATTGCCAGAGGAACTAATGGAAGCCAAAGGATAAGAGTGTTTTCTTTGCTGAACAGCCAGAAAGCCACATTAAACTGGACAAACCTTGGAGATAATTTAATTCAAACACTTCATTTGAGAAATGAGGAAACTGAGGCCCAAAAAGTTTGATTTGTCCATAGTCACACATAATGGTCAGAATTTAGGTTGCCAAATATCCAGTTCAGTGTTCTTCCTATTATACCATGACGTAGGAGCACGTCTGAATTTGTTAGCATATCCTGTAGTCCCAACTAAAATCCTACCTTCCACAGGAAGCCTCTCCCAGCCCCTCTTAATTCTAGTGCCTCCCCTCTGTTAATTATTTCCTATTTATCCTGCACATAGCTTGTTTGTACACATTTCCTTGTTGTCTCCCCCATTAGTTTGTAAGCTCCTTGAGGGCAGGGACTGTCTCTTGCCTCTGTGTATCTCCAGAGCTTACTGAAGTGCCTGGCACACAGTAGCTGCTTAATAAATGCTTATTGACTGACTGTATGTCTCCTCCCAGTGCCTCAGTTTTCTTATCTGTAAATTGGGAAGCCTATATTAGATGATCTCAAATTCTTTTCTGGTTCGGAAATGTCTAATTCTAACAGGAAACCACGGTCAGTCAAAACAGAAGTGTAAGATAGACAAACATTGAAAAATACAACAAAAATAGTAGTAATCCTTTATTTGGTCCAGCATTTTTCCTGTTTATTGCAATAGAACTATTATTCTCTCACAATCTCAAAGCTCTTCATTTACAATTACCACATTAACTATTCATGATACTCTTGTCCAAGCAAGACAGTTAGAACCTTTATGATCACCCCTACCACACAGATGAAAGAACTAAGGCTTGGAGAGCTTTAAGTATTATACTCAAGGTCAGCTAGGTGGCAAAGTGGATAGTCAGAAGACCAGAGCCCTTTCCAGTCCACCCTAAAGCTGGTGCCTTCCCTTGGCCAATTATCTTCAATTTAACCTGTCTATATGTCTGAATGCACACAGTTGTTTGCATGTTGCCTCTCCCATTAAACTATAGGCTCCCAGTGGGCAGGGGCTGTCTTTTGCCCCTCTTTATATGCCCAAAACTTGACCCAGTACTTAGCACAAAGGAAGTACTTAAATGTTTACTGAATTTACTAACAGGTAAAATCCTGCCTCAGACACAGCTGATAGAGGTCTAGGCCTGGAGATGTAAAACCTGAATTCAAATACCATGAGTTCACTCAGTAGGTGTGCGACTGGGCACATCACTTCACCTCTCTTTGCCTGTTTCCTCATATATAAAATGAGGATCATAATAGCCCAGGGGTGTATGAGGATCAATGAGATAATCACTATAAAGGGCTTAGCATAGTGCCCAGCACTTAATAAGTGCTATATAATGTTGGGTGTCGCTATTATTATTTTTATTAATTATTATTATTACTAGCTGTGTGAACCTAGGCAAGTCACTTAACTTCTATTTACCTCAGTTTTCTCATCTATAAAATGGAGACCTCCCAGGGTTGTTTGGAGGATCAAAAGAGATAACATTTGTAAAACACATTTTGCAATCCTTAAAGTATTATGTTATGTAAATGCTATTACTATTATTCAGTTGACCATTGAAGGAGGGGGCACAATGGTCTAGTCTCCAACTCCAACCTCTAAAGAAGTCAAGGCCATACATAGGCAGGTATGTAGATAGGTGGATAGATAGAAATTGGTCAGATGTGGACAGGTAAATAAGTCAGATACGTAGGCAGGTGATAGGCAGACTGGTGGGTGGAGAGGGCAGAAGAGAGAGCCCAAAAGAGACTGACAGAGAGTCAGAAAAATCAGCAGGTAGGTAAACAGTTGACAGACAGATTGGAACTAGATAAATGTTAATGGGTAGGTACAGAGACATATCAGTAGACAGACAGAGAGACAGATCAGTAGGTTGGCAGAGTGATGCAGACGTGTGTGTGTGTAGCGTTGCCCGCTGGGGGGGCAGGGGGCGTTCTCTCTCCCTGACCCTGACCTTGACCCTGTGCCTGAGCCCCTTCTCCTCCGCTGCGCGCCCGCCCGGCGTCGTGAAGTTACCTGCTTGTACCTGGCGTACAGGTAGAGGAGCTGCTCCCTGCTGGCCACCTGGACCAGGCCCTGCAGGTGAGCCGCCGCCTTCTCAAAGAGCTCCGCCAGGCTCTTGGGCGCCTCGCCCTCGGGGCCGGCCGGGGAGTCCCCCACGTCCCCAGACTCGTCCCCCGAGCTCAGTTCTCCGCCGCTGTCGCCGGTCGTGGCCCCCCGGGGCCGGGTAGGGGGAAGCCATGGCCCCCGGGCCCGCTCGGGACGGGCCGCCCAGGTCGGCCCGCTGCTGGTCGGGTCCGCTCCGCCTCCCGGCGCCCCCCCCGCGCTCGCTCCCCTCCCTCGGGTCTCTCTTGTAACTGTCCCCGGGGGCGCCTGAGGTGAAGCGGAGGCCGGGGGACGCTGGTGCCCACCCTCGCTCGCTCGCTCCCGGGCCCGGTTCTTCCCGCTCTGGCCAGAAGGAAGTTCGCAAACCTCCGGGGTCCGATCTCTCCTACGGCGGGAGGAAGGGGCGGGGGCGAGGGGCGCGGAGGAAGCGAGGGCGCGCTCGGGAGCCGACGGGGACGAGCGCTGGGCGCGAACGCGGAGGAGGCGTATGGGACTGGGGGAGGAGGAGGAGGAGGAGGGGGGAGGGGTGAGAGCAACGCACGAGGAGGCGCGGCTCGAGAGCTGGGGTTGGACCTCCTCGGCGCCTGTAGTGGCTGTCCGGGTGGGCTCGGTTCACCACCCTTCCACAGGCGGGACCGAGATGGAGACCTCCCTTTCCAGAGGAAAGGGATGACTGGGAGGTTGGGGGAAGGGGTGTAACGGGCGCGATTTTGGCCTCGTGGTTTGGAGCGACCCTGCCCCCGCCCCACCCCTCTCAGTGGATGGATGGGAACGAGGCTGGCAAGGTAGCGGTGCAGCGGCCTCAGTGGTGCCGGGGAAAACGCCTAATTGGGGAAGAAGGTTCCGCCTGCCTCTGTGGCCCCCTCGTGACCCCGCCCCCTGCACGTGGTGCCTGGGGCTGGAGACCCGGCCAGAGCGAGGCTGCCTCCCGGAGCTGGGGACTGGGGCCGACTTATTCCCGGGATGGCCTGGGGTCTCTTTCTGTAGCATGCACCCACCTCCCCTCCTTGCTGAAGGGCTTTGAAGGGTTCTCTGACCCCCCTGCTGCCGCAGCCGTAGCGACAGGATCGTTACTATTAACGCCGCTCTGATCTTTGCCTGGGACGAGGCAGTGGCCTCATTTTTCTCTTTGGTAAAATGAACGTGTTGAAGGAGCTGATTTTTTAAAGGCTTATTGACTTGACTTTGAGCTCTCTTCCAGCTCTTTCTGTGATTTATTGACCACCTCCGGTCCACCTTTTGTATTGTAATGCAGTGCAATACATTAAACAGGTACTGTGCTAAGCGATGGGGATACAAAAAGAGGCAAAAGACCACCCCTGCTCTCCTGGAGCTTACAGTCTAAGATGCCATGCAAACACATACATGCAAAGTAAGCTCTATACAGGTTAAATGGGAAATCATTCAAAGAAGGTGTTTAGAGTTCAGAAAGCTTCCTGTAGAAGGTGGGATTTTAGTTGGGAAATAGAGCATATCTTTACCCCTGAACCGCTTTTTTGGGCCATCTCAGCATTCCCGTCACAGGCCTCCCTAGATCATTTTCATTATCACCATCAGAATTTACTGAACAGAGGGGAGGAACCGCCACCAACATCCTACTCTAACTGAAAGGTGATGTCAGCCGAGCACTGGTTCTGCCAAGCAGGAGTACCAGCCCAGGCACAAACTGTTCCCAACCCTTGCAGACTGACCCCGCTAAAGACTCTCATCAACAAGCCTGACACCAAGTGGCCAGTTTTCAGTCACAGTAATTCATGAAACCATCAATTAAGGCTTGGGTGAATTGTTGAAGCTGATGTGGCATGGTAATGGATGTTGTAAAGAGATATATCTTTTAACCTCTAGAAGCTCACAGTATGACGTTGGGGATATGATCCAATTGAGATTGGGCCTTTAATGTATGAGTGTAGAGCACAACCTCGTACATGTTTTCTCATCTTGTATGACTCTTATACAATTTCTTCCATAAATTCTCCATAGGAAATCATAGAATCACAAATTTAGAGCTAGAAAGGAACTTTGAGGCCATACACTCCAAAACTCATTTTACAGATGAGCAAATGGGGATAGAGGTTAAGTAATTTGCGTAAGTTCTGTGAACAGAGGGGAGGAACCGCCACCAACATCCTACTCTAACTGTTAGATAGGTTGGAGCTTCACTTCTTTACAGGGAAGCTGGACAATGGAGATACACAACAACCAGCCAATCAGAAGGATTTCTGAAGCCCAGAGCTGCTTGACATACCAGTGATTCTTTGTGAGTGAGCTCATAGCCAAATTTGGAGATACCTGTAGCTGCCAGAAACCAGAGAACCAGCCTTGACCAGCTCAAGGGCAACCATGGTTTTCACCCCACCACCGTGTGCAAGATCCCCAGTGGCTGCAGCCTCAAAATTTTCAACAACCAGGAGTTTGCCCAGCTGTTGGCCCAGTCAGTCAACCATGGCTTCGAGACAGTCTATGAGCTCACAAAGATGTGCACGATCCGGATGAGCTTCGTGAAGGGCTGGGGAGCAGAATACCACCGGCAGGATGTAACCAGTACTCCCTGCTGAATGAGATCCATCTGCATGGTCCTCTACAGTAGTTGGATAAAGTTCTTACTTAGATGGGCTCACCTCATAATCCCATTTCATCTGTGTCATAAATGCCCCCCTTTACTCCATCCCACCCCTCATCCCCTGGATTCTGCCTCTTTTGGAACTCTTGAGCCTTGCATGTACTTGAAGGATGTATGAGTCAGATACATTGACAAACTGACAACAGGCTGAAAAGGAGCCTTGGTAATACTTGACCTCTGTGACCAACTGTTGGATTCAAAAACTAAAACCGTTGTAACTACTGTCAGTATCAAGAACTCATTTTGTTTACATTGTAACATTCTTTTATAAAGTTGACTGGATACAGTTCTTTCAGCGGGGTTTTGTGTATCGCTCAAGAAGAAATGGCCAAATGAGGGACAATTCGTCTGAGGGACAAGTGTTCCTAAGAGATCCTTTTGTATTTGGCACTTTCAAGGGCATCGTTTGGCAGGTGTTTAGCAGTAAGCCGTTAGTCTCTCTGAAGTGTGTTTTTTATCCAGTTGGGAGCCCATGATGAAAGTCTCCTTTTTTATGGGCTTTTCACAATATTTTTTTTTAAACCTATTTGTTTAGTAAGAGTTCCTGGGTTGTTCTTTTTTTAACGTCTCATGAAAACAGTACAACAAGTACATTGCTTGCCCGTGTGTTCACCAAGTTCAGGCCCTTCATGTTGTACCGAGAAATCAGTGAGCGAGACCCAGACGTAATTTAAAATGTAGATTTATTAGTGCGGGCTACAAGGGGTATGCACATCCAAACCAAGCAGCCCCGATCAGGGGTGAGCTAGGGTTCATATGGAAGAGAGCATGGGAAAGAAATGCCAGGAACACTGATGAGGTAATCCAAAGATGCAGGTGTCTTTGGGGCTATGGAGGGGAAAGTACAGGGAGTATACTGGACGGGGAGGGGGATGGATCTTTGGAGTCTGGCAGGAGGAAGAGTTCTTGGGCTGGTCAAGGACACCCCTCTCCCTCTGTCTTGATGAGAGAATGCTCTGCAACAAAGGAAAGCTTTCTCACAACTAAGGAATTGGGAGGCTTCCAGAGACATGATCTGAGGGCTGGGGCCTGAGCAGCCAGAGAAGGGTCCTGCTGAGGCCCATGCATGAATAACTGCTAGGCAGGGTGTCCTTGGGCCGGGGAGTGGTTGTCAGAGACAGTGTTTCTGAGACTGGGGAGACATTTGGGGCACAAGTATAAGCACAAGCACTCGAGCACCCCATCATTACAGGTCAGGGATCACAAACCAGACCAGGTGTCCTGGCGTCTGGTGTAAACATAATTATCTAAAGCCATTATATTGCAAGCTTTCTTATCCATTTGCACTGGAGGTATGGGCTGTGCTAAGCTATGCAAGAGCACATTTCACTATTGTTTAGATTTAGGAGGAAAGAGGTCTGGGGCAAGATTAAGCAGCAACTTCTAGTTTCCATGGCCTAAAGGGCCCTACTACCTAAATGGTAAAATAATGTTCTGCGTTACATTATCACCACAGCCTCCTAATTGAATGCCTGAATTCCAGTTTTATCCATCTCCAATCCATCCTCCACACAGCCAAGAAAACCCTTGCAAAGCACAGATCTGACCACATCACTCCCATGTTCAAGAACTTGCAGGGCCTTTCCTAGTATTGCTGAGATAAAATGCAAACTCCTCAGCTTGATATTGAAAGGCCTGTTACAAGTTACTCCCCTTAGAGATATTGACATTCTAGCCAAAGACAGCATTTCATTTCCAACCTTTTCCCATACCTGGAAAGTAGGAGAGAAGAGTTATTAGGCTGCCTACCAAACTGAAGGTCTTACAGAATGTGGGAAAGGATTAGAAGTTAGGCTTTCACCACAGAACAAGGAAATTCTGAGAAGGACTTCCAAAACCTTGTGGATAGTCCCTCAACCAATCGGAAAGTGCCTCAAACATTCTGCAAACAACTAGTTCTTTAAGAAAGAGCCCTGGAGGCTAAACCAGTTGCAACTGTATAGGTCAAGGTCAAGGACAGGGCAAAGGCTTTTCTCCACTGCACTTGCTTAATAAGCTTATTGAATATTAACTGACACACCCAGAGGGCAGAGATAGCTGCCATTTTTGAACATGGGATGCATGAACTGGGAGGAGTTAGCAAAACATGGAGGAACATGGGATGGGCAGTTCAGGAAGAGTGTAACTCAGATGAGCTGGTCCAACCCCAGGCTCAGATGGGAGGAGTATTGGATCTTACTAACCATTTGAAAGTTGATTCTACCACTGTACCAGTGCACACATGCCAGTAGGGTGCGATGTACCCACTTCTCACAAGAAGAATAATAAAGGCTTTCCATCACTCCTGTAGTACATTTTTGTTTCAGATTTTTCTAACAAGAGCTGTTGTGCTGACCTCATTGTTGTATGTTTGTTAAACCTGGACAGTATGACAGCACCATGCCAGGAAACTGAATCACTTCCATCTGAATTATCTTAGCAAGATTCTGAAGATCACCTGACAAGATAATGTACTGCATACTAAGGTACTTTCTGGAGCTAAACTCCCAAGCATTCAAACTCTACTGTAGAGAACACAACTCCAATGAGCTGGCCAAGTGGTTTGACTGCCAAAAGTACATTTGCCTAAAAGATTTTTCTTTTCTTCGCATGAGGCAGTCAGGGTTAAGTGACTTGCCCAGGGTCACACAACTTGTAAGTGCCAAGTATCTGAGGCTAGATTTGGACTCAGGTCTTCAGGGCCAGTGTTCTATCCACTGAGCCACCTAGCTGCCCCCTAAAAGACTATTTTATGGAGAACTCACCCAAGGCAAGCACTTACACAGAGTTTGGAAGAAGCAACATAAGGATTCTCTCAAGGTCTGTCTGAAGAACTTTGGAATAAGTTGCATGTCATGGGAGACATTGGCACAGGACCACCCAACATGGTATGCCCTCATCAAGGAAGGGGCTGTGCTCTGAGCAAAACAGAATTGTAGGAGCTCAAAAGAAATATGTAATGTGTAAATTTAGAAACATCTCCACTCTCAGTGTTCATACAGACTATTTGTGC